TGAGGTATGTAGAGGGGTGTGGTGGTAAGAGATCCAAACCTAGTTTGATTTGAGCTTGTTTGGGTTGATTTGGTTTACTTCTTTAGGGAATAGATTTAATGAAGACTAAATGTTTGAAAATTGATGTGAAGGGTTAGGTTAATATATGAAGTCATGATCTAGAATGTAGGAGCTTATTTGGAGTGAGCTATCATGGTTTAAGAGGTTGAATTGTGGAGACTAGGCAAAAAGATAGGAGTTATGTCCATTGGCTACAAAGAGGCTTCCAAGCCACTTATATGCAAGTTTGCGGCTTAGAGAAAGGGTGAGAGGGCTGCTACGAATGCTATAACTACAGAGTAGAGTTTCATTTATGAAGAGTGAAGAGAACTTTTGGGGAGGATGTTGAAGATTAGAACTTCCACCAAGAAACTCTAAGAGAGAGGGAGCACCAAGTTGAAAGAGTTCTCAATCTCCATAGTTTTTGCAAAGCATTCAAACTCATTTTTCATTCATTCATATTCGTATATGTAAGTTGATACAAACCATTTAAAATTCAAATATTTAGGTGGAAAAATCTTGTGGAGGTGGAATTGGGTTTAAAGATAAGCTAAGAAAGTTCCTAAGTCTATCAAACTGATAGGATAAGGCAAATGGGATATTAGATGCCTAAAATTCAAACTCAACCTAGTTGATAGTGATTGAGTGTATTTTTGGGTGATTCAGTGGGTTCATCCTATAGTGGTCAATTAAGTTTTGGGGAAGCCTATAGCTAATATATGGTTAGCTTGAGGTGAGCTTGGGCAAGGTTAATAAGGCTAATTCATTGCTAAGGCTAATTAAATTGAGGTTATCCTATACTTTAGTTATTTTTGCTTTAAACTAAGGGAAGGGAATTTTGGCATATGTAATCCATCCTAGAAGTAATGGATTAGTCCTTGGAAATGGCTTGGAGTCAAAGCTAATGGCATGAATGGACTCGTATAGAGATTTGAGCTCAGTTGTACAAGAATAATATCTCACCACGGCCATATTGTAGCATAGGAGACCTCAATAAGATAAAAGTTTGAATATGTTATTTATATTATGTTGAACCTATGAGAGATAATAAATCTCTTATTGAGATTTTAACATATTTAAGATGCATAGGGTAGGTCAAAGATACTGAAAGTGCATAGGATGAGGTGTCATACACTTATAGTCAGGAAAAAGATAATGATAAATAGGGAGACCATATACAAGCTAATGTTAATAAGATGAGGTACCCTATAACTATAGATCAAGGAAAAGAGTCAGTGGTCTATTGGATAGATTTCTATGCCTATTATTAAGTGAAATTTATGTTTGTTTTTATTATGTTAAATTCTAGTAAAGATGTGTGTTTTTGTTAATGTTGTATAAGAATGTCTCAGCAAAATGAGCAAAAATTGTAAAGTTGAGAACCAGCATCGCAACACCAAAATTGTTAGCGACGCACCGTCTTCAACGCCCCAGTGCCAGAATAGGACATTGCAGTGCTGAAGCCTCTGGAAAATTTCATTTAATTTAGATCTCCAACAAAACAAGGTCAACGCCGTAGCTCCGTAAGTGAACATTGCAGCATTGAAGTCTCCAAAAAAATTTCAAATAATTCAATGCTGAAGTGCTAACCTTGGAAGCGTCGCATCGTCGGATGACGTAAGAAAGCACAGTAGTGCCCATATTTTGCAACACCACGATAGAGCTGATAAAGAAAAGAAGCACCTTGTCGGATCAGTAAAGTGTCTTCACGAATCAACAAAAAATTGCGCCAGGTCATCCCATAGCACATTCAGCTCCGCTGAGACACTAGTTTATATTGTCATGCTTTGGTGCCACCATGTCTAGCGCTGCGACCCCTGAGTCTATTTATGTTTAATTGTGGGCTCCGAAAATTCGGCCCCAACCTCCCTCGCTTCTTTTTCGGGAGAGTTTTAACGGATTTAGTTCCGGGGTTAATTTTGGAAAAGCAGATGAGTTTGTAGATAAGAAACTACCCATAGATTTTGTTCTCATTTTATGAGGACTTTATGATATGAGTTTTGATTTCCTATAAGCACAAGCCCCTATAGTTTATTACTCTTCTTGGTAACGAGAAAAAACTTTCGATTAAAGCTATTTGTTAATTATATATATACACACGTAATATCTAGCATATAATAACAGCATGGACTTTGAATTTGGAGATTTGATATTTAAAATGAAAATTTTACCATCTTACACTTAAAAAGAATGGTGGGGTAATGCATGATGGACCAGATCAAGATCTCATGGTTCCGTCGTCCCAGGCCATCGTGGTCTCTTAGTCTACTTAGTCAGAGGAGGTAGTCGACCCAACCTGACAGAAGGATCCTTGTCGACAGCCATGAGTTGCTTCGTCTAAGGGGACCTTATAAACCTAGGGTGAATGTTTGTATAAGGGAATAAATTTGAATCTACCTTAGCTAACAGTGGGCTTTGTGCCCTGTCTATTATATCATATTAATTCATATCTCAAGGATTTGATGCCACTAAGAAACGTGTTGACACTGGCCATAGTCGTAATTTAGTGATGTCATTTGATGGCGAAATCACTCGGTTCAGAGGGCCCCGAGTCATAACTGTTTATCCTGTGGTGTCGTTTAGCAGCAAAACCGTTGGTCAGAGGACACGTACCACGCCTTTACTAATACGAGATTATTTGAGAATTGATCATAGTAATATTTTCGATTAGGCATTAGCTTTACGTGAGTTGAAATAAATTTTAATTTGTCCACCCGGCAAACTGTTGCGGTGGTGGATGAATTTTGTTTTAAGTGATTAGATAGGTTTATTTCAATTTTAAATATTATAAGTTTTGGTAGCTTTTGGTGTTTTGGGTTTGTGGATATTTGAGTGGAACTTTGAAACATTGAAATTAACTCCTCTTGTTGAGGCTTTCATTTAACACGACCATCATTAGGTTGTACGGGCATTTTTATTGACTAAACCTTGTTAACCTTATCAACTTGTCGATAGTCGATCGGGTTCGTCGACTGTATGATTTTATTGATGAATTTCTCTATTCGTAGGCCTTATATAAATGTATAAAATATATTTCGGTTGACACTTTGACCGTGTATCTTTTTGATAGTTCGAGCCGTGTCGACTCCTATTTATCCATCTAGAAGAATCAGGCTCGAACTGGGTTCATTTATTGACTTGCGCAGCATCCCTAGAGGTCACATGTGTACTCGTAACAAGCTTGCTGAGGCCCATGCGGGTGTTTGGGGATATTTTATAATTATTTGCCGAACCTTGTCGATTTTTATTTACTTGTTTAGGAGAATAAAATTCAAATTTATTGACCAGTATAGCATCCCTAGACGTCACGTGTGTCCCTACAACATGCTCGTCGGGGCCCATACGGATTTATTATACATCCCCTTATGTGTACCTATGTGTATAGATTTTACAGTGCATGTGCGGAGCATTTTTGGATACTTAGCGGATGTACTACGACAATCCATAGAAGCTCGTGCCTGTCGTGGCCCTTTTGTATTTGCCTATAGGTAATATGTTGGATGCACCACCACTATTCATCAAGAAGCTTGAAAGCCTCAATAATCTCTTCTAACTCAATATTTAGAACCTGGTTGAGCTGAGATTCACTCACTTCATAATGATTTGATATGGCTTTCTCTTCCCATAACTCATATGGAGTCAACAAGCAACTCCCTAATTATGCCATCATCCTCATTTTCTGTTGTTGACTTTAATAAAGAATCAATCATTTCAACCTTGGATGATTGTGTTCTTGTTAATGTCCTATACGTCGAACGGACATTATAGTGATTGAAGGTACATCAGTTCATCGAGGTGAAATATACGAGATATTCATTCCTAAAATGATTGTTGCATCCCTTAATGCAGTTTAGTCTCTCAAGCTTTGCATTAATCTTTAACGGTACTTTTGTCAAACATGGCTCATTATCTCCAGTGGCGCAATGCATCATGTGTCGACGCTCGCTTGAGTGTATTCAGATGCATCATATTATCATCTTAATTTTAAGTCGGATCTTTGTAGTAACAACTAACATGTTGACTGTGGTATAAGCCTCCTACAGTATCATCGAACATTTCTGTTCGCAAGAGATTTATATATCTTATTGGTGGACTGTCGCATTTTACCCGCATGTCTTCAGCGTTCATAAGGACCTCTGTGTATACTTGCAAGATGACTGGCATCGGTCGTAGGGAGATTTTCATATTTATAGCTTGTCCACTATTGTCATTCATGAGGAAATCGGTATTCTGCTTATCAGTTGATGCTTGCCACCTGTGAGTGTACTATTCTTCATACGAAGAGTCTTCCGTGATTGCTTGCGAATAACACTTTACATGAGTAGTCGGGTTGGCTGAAAACCTGTCGTATCTGTGACGTACTTCCTTTCATCACTCATATATGAGTCAATGTGCTTCTCTATGATTTGTCATTGACCACTAGTCGAGTCGCATTTCACTACTAATTCCTTCATGTATGTGTTGTTTGTATATCTTGAGTCGCCACCTACAAACAGTTCTCTGTCAATTTCTATTGATTGTTGCTTGAGGATGCATCACGCCCGATGTTGTAAATGACCTATTAGGCTTCAATGACACCCTCATATCATAACTTCACAATCTTCCTGTTATTTGCGAACCAACCCCACTTGCAGGTTCTTTGCCTTCACAAGTGACTTACAACAAGTATAACGAACTTGATATCATTATCATCAACGTCTTCATTCCAACCCACATGACTCTTACAAGCCAAATATAGTCATCCAAAAATTCCATGCTAAGGTCTATGATCAATTTATGTATAAATCCTTATTTGCTTGCATGATATCTATTTGAATGCATTTAAATGACCAAAGTGGCCACTTTAATATTCATTTGAAGATTCTTGTATTGTTGCTCATAAGTATTTCCTTTGATCCTTGTTTCTATAATTATGATTGTCACTTAATGTTTGTGTATCTTGTGTTTTGAATTTGCTCTAGGTTCTTTGAGAAAACAGATTTTGGTCAGGTGGAGACAGGACCTTCTGGTTTGCCCGAAGAAGTGCCAGTTGGACACATCACATTTTCAAAAGTGAACCCAATATCCTCAAGTTTCCACTCAAATTTTGACACGCAACTTAACTTTTCAGGTAGGACTAGCCAACAAAACATAGTGGATGAAGCTAAAAACACAATATGTGTATCTAAGCCTCGAGATAACTGTGGACCTGATTTCAAAGCTGAAACAACATCTCCTACAGGATTTGTGGAAAATGACGGTTCTAGAATTGTGTCAAGTGATGATCATATCCTCAGTGGATGTATGGAAGAAAAAAAGGATGCGGTAGGACAAAGGGAATCTCTTAATAAATGTTTAGTGGGTGCCACTGTAGATAATTCTGAAAATGATAAAAATGCTCATATGCATTCCTCTAAAGGTGCAGCTTGTGATCTAAAGCAACACTCCTGCACTAATAGTTATCACTCGACATTGAGTGGGGATATATCGTTATCTGATTATGCTTTTTTAACTATATCAGACATCAATCTCCGCACACAACCTTTGGAAGTACCACCTCCTTTGAGAGCCCCACCCAAATTAGATAGGCAAGGAATGCATAAATCTGAGGCGCTTGATGCTTCAAATATTACTTTCAATAACCAAGTTCATCATGTTGGAGGTCCCCGTACGCGTCATTCACTTAAGGAGATTGTGAAGAGTACCTCTCCTATTTATTCTAACGTGGAGGTGGATGCCAGCAAAGCTGCTTCTGCTATGATAGAAGCAATGGAACAAGCTCAAGCTAGTCTGAACAGTGCAAAGGAGTTGATGGAAAGAATGCAGGACAGCCCTATGAGTGATAGGAGGCTGAGCCCTCATGATTTTGATTTCTGGACTGAACATAATATTATTTTCTCAGGAGATTCAAGGCATAAAACAAAAATGGTGCAAAAGGTAGTTCCCAATCAGGCAGAGACGGTAACTTCAGTGTTTTCTGAAGATGCTGAAGAGGTAATACGAGGGAAAGATTCCATATCTTATAAGCCATCTGATAAAAAGGAGAGGTCTCATGAATGGAAAGTAGATAAGCGGTTTTACGGGTCATTAAGCAGTGATAAGTTGACAGGAACCGGAGTAATCAGTGGTGAAAAGTATAATAGCAATGAAGACATTAAACTAGAGGACCACCGACTCGATGCTTGCCAATACTTTCCTGAAAAAGAATCATGTGGTATGCAAGGGAGAAGATTTCTCAATGGTTGTGATGAGGTTGAAAATGTGAATAAATCGGAAATGCTGAATACATTTAGTATAAATGAAAATAAATTGTTCCCAGGAGGTGAATTTCAATTGCAGGATGGGAATACTAAAAAATTGAAATCTGTCATAATCGATAAAGAAGAGGCCATGAACATCTTCGAAACATCTGCCATAGATGATGAGGTCAAAGAAAAAATGGTTCGAGCACTTCAGTTTCCCAATGATGACATAGAAAAGCTAGTAGACCCCATCAGCTTGATTCAACAAGATAGAATTGAGAATGAACTAAAGCAATTTCAGGACACTTGCATCCGTGCAGACGATAAAAATATTGCTGATGTTTTTTCAAAAACCAATGCCTGTGGGAGAAATGGTTCAGGATTGGTGGGTTTCCGCATGAATAGAATGCTTGAGGAATTTTATGGGGCTGAAGCTCTGGAGGAGAAGCTGGAGCAAGTTAAAGAAACACATCTGTACGCTTCAGATTTGGAAGACATTAGTAAGACTGCTGTTGTTTTTGAGTATGAAGCGTTAAGGAAGGTGGATAACTGCAATATAACTTCTGAATTTGGTGTCAATAAGAAGTTTAGGGAGGCCAAGTTGTCTAGTTTGCAGAATGCAATTGAGGTGGAAGTTCATAGAGAGCACCGGACATCATTTTCTTGTGAGGAGGAGGAGAACGGGGATGCTAATAGCGAAGAATGCCAACTTGGCATGCTTAAGCAGACAAAAAAAGAAACTTATGCTAGTTGTAATGATGGGAAGGATTCTGAATTGGAGGGCATTGTTAATACTTCTGAGCAGGAAAATAGGAGTTTCAGTGGCATTGACGAAACCAATGAACCTGCTAAGAAACATAGGGCTAAATGGAACATACCAAACAGGAGTGAATTGAATGTTGCAAAACTGTTTATTCGGCCAGTTTATTTTGAGAAGGCTAAGGAAGAATCAGAGTTTCAAAAAATTGAAGAAAAAAATGTATATGGGCTGCTAAAGAAGTTAGAAAATTCTGATGCCAGGTTGACCACGGATGGGGAACAAAGAAAGGATGAAAAAAAATTTCTTGGAAAAGTGCAAGCAGCTTTAGAGTTGGAAAAACAAATTATGGGATTTAATGCTATTCAGCAGGTTTTCCAGGGAAAAATAGTCCAGGACTTAAAAGCTGCTCAACGAACCGATTCATTGGATAACAAAGGAAACATTATGAGTCCTTATGTAGATACTTCTGGAAGTTCATGGAAGCAAATGGATAAGAGTATACATGACGAATGGAGAGATGCTAACAATATGAGTAAAGAAATATTGGATAGGAAAAGAAAACAGGAGGCTGATCAAAAGAGAGAACTGGTGGAAAAGGAGAGGATGAGAGAAAGAGAAAAATACATGATTGCTGTCGAAAAAGTAACCGGCGATGCTTGTGAAATCGTATTTGCGGAAGCCTGGGAGAGGTCTGAAAATATTGTTTCTGACTGGGTTGCTGCTGAAGCTCGACACCGACCCATCACAGTGTATCAAGATATAATTGAGAACTCTTCTCCTGAATCATTTGAGAGATCCGAAAAGGTTGCAAATGATGCAAAATTGCCGGCACATCGTCTTGCAGTTGAGCAGGCAACTGCTGAGGCTAGAGAGCGTGCCATTGAAAAAGGCCTTGCTGAACAAGCTTCCCATGAGGCTAGGAGGGAAGCAGAGATATCAAGCAACTGTCATAAAGATAAAAACTGGAAACATAATGAAGCAGAAGATATTGTTAGACCGGGCAATGATGAAAGTGACAAAAATCCCAGACCTACTTTTGTAAGCTAAACTATTAGACCAGATTGAAGTTTTCTGGTAATTTACTCTATTATATGCTCCTGTGCTTGATTCACAAACTCTTATTTGTTACAGGATGTGATCGATGCTCCGATTGACTTGAAGTCTCAGAGTGAAGGTAATTCTTATATTTTTCTTTCAAAATTGTCTATCTTTTCGATAAGCATGGCACCTTGAAACATAACATTAATTTTTTAGTGTGCTCATGACTTCATGATATTGACTCTCCATCCTATTCCAAATTCACAACATATTTCTCTAACATTTTCTTCCCTTCTTTCTGTGTAATATGTTATATTTGCTAAATGCTAAAGGTTGTGAGGGTGAATCACCTTTAAGATGCAAAGCAAGGCAAGAACGGCGCCAGCGAATAGTTGAACGTGCGGTAATTATTTAGATGAGAATTCTCCAATAAATTACGCTCGTGAAACCTTTTCTGGGTATGGATGACTAAAAATTTAACTTGTAACTATCATACAATTCAGGCAAAAGCTCTTGCAGAAAAGAACATGCGAGATCTTCTTGCCCAAAGGGAGCAAGCAGAAAGAAATGTAGGAAGGATCTCTTCATTCTGATATAATTTAAAAATGCGGACTTACTATCTTCTTTGACCATATTTTGCTGAGAAAAATCGTTGCAGAGGTTAGCGGAAACTTTGGATGCTGAGGTTAGGAGGTGGTCAAGTGGAAAAGAAGGAAACTTGCGTGCACTATTGTCAACACTACAATATGTAAGTTTGATTTTCTTTTCTCGTTCTTGTTGTCATGTATTTTTGCTCTCAAGATATTGAATGCTATTTTATGTCTTTTTATCTAATTGTTCAATGAGACTTTTCCAAGCATTATAGGACACCTTCATTCATCTGCATTTCATCCCATTAAACCTTGCTATTGAAATAGCCTTGCTATTTTTCCCTTTCTTTTGTGCTTACGTATATTATAAATCATTTTCACATGAGAATTCACCTGAACATTCATTTAATGAATAAAAATGAGATCAACGACCAATTTTCCTTTACATCTGTGTTAATTGTAATCAAAGTGTGCAAGGAAAATACAGATAGATAACATTCTATGGTGCTATTCTTACCTGCCAGATTCTCGGGCATGAAAGTGGCTGGCAGCCTATTCCATTGACCGAGGTTATAACAGCTGCTGCTGTCAGGAAAGCTTACAGGAAAGCGACTTTATATGTTCACCCAGACAAATTGCAGCAGAGGGGTGCAACCATTCAAAATAAGTACATCTGTGAAAAGGTCTTTGATCTACTTAAGGTAACTACTATAATTATCAACTTGTCACCTTGGTCATATTATTTTAATTATTCCAAGGGTATGGCTAGCGGATCTGCAGTGGGGGCCCTAGGGTCATGGCCCCACGGATCCATTAGCAAAAATATATAGCAATAAAAGCATATAGCATAAACTTTTAAAATCACAAATGCGACATCGATCTCTAGGATTCGAACACAGACCTCTGCGTTCCATGAGATAACGTAACCCATTGGACCACAAGTCATCGGATGTCCCAGCTATCTGATTTTTAGGAATGGAATTTGACGCATTAGGTTGTAGGAACTTATGTTCCTTTGGGCGGCGTTCCATCCGTTAAAGATTTGTTCAATATGCTGAATGATCGTCTGAGAAGCCATTAGAGGTGGTGCTCATAAAATATCTCTACTTAAAAGGAAAAAAAAGAATTGAAATGCTTCTAGGTACTCCATAATATTATGGGAAGTTATTATAGAAATCAGTATATTTTGGTTTCTTTGCAAAAGGATAGTATTTTCAACTTGAGTAAATTAGTCCCAAGTTTTTAAAATTCTTTAAAGAAAGCATGCTTAAGCTCAAAAAAAAAACTTAGCAGGGTTGGGCAAAATCTTACTAAAATTTCTAGGGTTTGCTGCAACCATAGTAAACATATTTTATGCTACCCTAGTAAAGTTACTAAAGTTCATGGTTAAAAAAAAAAAGTTATTTGGTGCAACCTGGATGAATTTACTAGGGTTAAAACATGATTAAAATGTTATATTGATTTGGGCCTTATTTGGGATAGATTTTGGTCATTGTTTTTTTAAACCGTTTTTAAAAAAATTATGTACTAAAATGTTAATTTAGGCTTTGTTTGGGTCAGCTTCCTCAATGCTTCTTAAAGCAGCTTTCTAGTACAACTTTTTTTATTTTTGTACTAAAAGCTACTTTAAGAAGCGACAAGAAAGCCGTCCCAAAAGAAGCTTTAGAAAGCAGTCAGAAAGCCGTCCTAAATGAAGCCTTAGTTGTCAAAGAAGTTGGCTTGAGGGCTAGTTTATGAAAATTAAAAAAAAGTTTTCATTCCCAAATGTCAAAACTATAAGTACTGTTATTCAAGTTTTCATGAAATTGTCTACTAACTTATCTATCAAGCTGAAGATAATATCAAGAGGAGATGGGGTGAGACTATCGCTTTAATTTGGGATGGTTTTTTTGTTGCTTTTTAAAGCCTCTTTCTTGTACAAAAATTTTTAATTTTTGTACTAAAAAAATTGTTTTAAGAAGTAACAAGAAAATGTCATAAACGAAGCCTAAGCAATTTGGCTATCGAGAATTCTAAAGGTCTAATACATTTTTAGTGCTAACAAACCGTGTTTTATTATTATCTGATAGTTTCATCGAGTGAGTGACCCATTCACCTTTTTACGGGCATTAGTTTAATTTGGGATTTGTAGTTTACATCATCGGGTTAATTGCATTCCTATTTCCTTATTATTGCTATTTTATCTCGTAATAGAACACAAATTGATAAATATTTTGACCCTTCATTCGTGGCCGTTGCAGGATGCTTGGATCAAGTTCAACTCAGAAGGCCGATAGTATTTGACATTCCTAAACATTGAAATCTGACTTTACCTAAAAAATATCCAGTTTTATTCGAGGCTGCAGGCATACTTAAATTTCTGTTCATATATGTAATTTTCTTTAATATATGCAACATTTATTTGCATAAAGAAGCATAAAACAGGAATCATAAAACAGTAGGTAAGAAAAACTATGTGAATAGACTTGATGCAGTTGTGTAGCAGGTGAGTTTGGATGGTAATTGCTACCCACTTGGGAAGAACATAGGATTAGTTTTGAATTTAGTATAACTAACCTTTTGATGAATTCTCCTGATGAGAACTTTTAGTTAGGTTTGAGTACTTTGGATCAGTATCCAAGTTCTGTATTTGAATTTTTTGATACGTGACTTCATGGGTTATAGGGGGAGTTAAACGATGCAGTTTGGAAATCAATCAGAATGCGTCACATCATTTGATACACAGCGTTACCGAGCAAAGAAGTGACGTGGCACATTCTAGTTGGTCTCCGGGTGCTGTCCGAGGTCCGCACATAATAGTTTTCCGTAGTTTTGGGGGTGATTGTTATTGGCTAACTTGATTAGAGTTAGCCTTATGATACTTGTAGTTTTAGCGAATTTTGAGTTGGGTTCATAATCAAACTTATTTAACTTAGTTAAAGCTTTAATGATTAGTTCATAAACTTCAGTGAGATTAATTTTTCTTTTCAACAAAATAAGAATGAGTGGCGTAGTCCTATTTAGCTAAAAAAAATTCATGCAATTTAATTTATATTTTATTCTTTATGAATAATTAGTAGTAATATAACTATTATAAGCCTATAGTGAATGCAAACTATAGGTTTTTGCATTCACTATAGGCTTATTACCTTTGTCTGTAAATAGTGTCGCATTTCCCATGAATTTGCTACTTTGATTTGTTTGTGAGCAGTTTTTTTTTTTTTTTGAAGAACTGCAAATTGCATTGTTGGAGGAACTTTATTACAATAGATTTTTTGAATAGCAGGAGAGGATGCTCTCAATGACTTTAAATATCAAGAAATTCATAACTTAATCTATGATAGAGTCAAATCTTGAGATGCTGATCACCTGGAATATACAACAAATTATAAGAAACTAATTTCAAATCATTGAGAAAGAGGTAAAAATAAATGTTATAAGAAGTCCCTTTATTTTACATGAGCATTTACATCAGTCCTTCAAAAAAATATTTTTGAAAAAGGGAAACCTACAATGTCTTATTTAATTTTGTCTTTCAAACAATAGATATTTTTTTCATATCCAATAATTCTTCTGTTAGCACCTTAGCTTTCTTTCATCATTAGTTGTGAGACCAAGTTTACCATGTCTATATTTTTAGCTTTGTTATAGAAATCCTATCATATTACTTAAGAAAAAAACTGACTTTTTTTAATTCCATGATGGGTGTTTTCAAATTTCAGAAGGACCGCTCTAAAGTATGAGCAATTCGGTTAATTAGCTCATGAAATTTTATCCTCTTATATAAATCCTTCAAATTTCTTCACTAAGTTAATAATGCTATATTTGGCTTACGAGCATAGTATAACATAAATTTAAAATTAATTTATATCCTTTCGAAAACGATAGAACTGTTGTATTACAAAACAATTGGTAATTTACTTAAAATTTTTAAGATCTCATTTTAAAGAAGATATCGAGGTGGTTGGTGGAGATGGAAATCAATACTCCCGGTATCAAGCAAATTGAAAAAATAACTAATTTAAACTTTTTAATATTAATTTTAAAATATGATATTTTTAGCTTCAAGCTATAAAAAGAGCTTTTAGTTTAGACTATTTACCTCTAAGAAACCATTTGAATTTTTCTCAACTTTAGTGGCACAAATTTTTTTTTTTTTTTTTTTCATTTTCAAAGCCTATATATGCCTTGATTAACCGAAAGAACTTTTTCAACGACTATGATTTTCAAAGTATTGGTCTCAATTTGGAGAGAAATTATTCTGTGCGGTCATCCTACGCCGTCCAGAGGCGAATTAGCATGCACCATATTTTTTTTTATGTACCAGTGTTGTGTACTGGGTGAGGTGGCGCATTTCTGATTCACCTCCAGACGGTCTGATAACCGCACAGAATAATTTTGCCGATTTGGAGAACTAGCGGATGTAGATTAAATTCCTTTGCTCTTCATGTTAGCTTAAAATCTGAAACAAATTTTATGCCCACATATTTTAAAATAAAAATATATAATAATTAAGATTCTATACCTTAAAAAATATATGCTTATAAGATGAATAAATTGAAGAGAGGGATATGGTACAATGAAATGCACCAACCCAATTTAAGATTGATAAATCTCAACAGTAACACCCTTTTAAACAATATACACCTTCAACTACATCAATTTTAAGTTGAGGTACCTCACGTAAAGTTAGGTGGTGACCAAACTGCATTATCGTTGGTGACATATGATGTGCATGACAATGGAACAAGACAAAGTCCTCTGCTTCTTAGATCTGGCTTTGAATCATCTCTTTCTTTTGTGGTTGATTCCTGTGCTCCAAGGAAATGTTGATAACATGCCAGCTTTTCAATATATGTAAGTTAAATTACACTTTTTCATCAAATTGCCAATGTAATTGAAGCCAAAATGTTTTATCGCATATGTGTGTCTAAATGTTACCAATCAAGAAATAAGTTAGAGAATAAGTTCTCCCTCTTATGGTTTTGCAATTATACTTTTCTTACATTGAAATACAACGTTAGAATAATCTCTAATCCAAACTCAGCAATTTATTTTGAATCTAAGAGAAAGAATCAAAGAGATATACAATCATTCTGAAGGTCAAATTCAATCACAAACAAGCAAAGTAGACACAAGTGGGAGATGATATGTACCCATAACATGCCTATGAGAAATATGTTAAAACTTTGCTTACATTATAGGTGTACAAATCATTGTTCTACTCAAAGAAAATTATCAAGGAGACATACCTAAAACTTAATGGACATTAACTACAAAAGAATCATTTGTGATAAGGCATTTTAATGATTAAATATATTTTTTTATTATTACTTTTATAGAGATTTTGAGCATCACTAATCTTTTTCTCAACTTATTTTGTAAGGATAAGACAAGTATACCAACCAAATATGTTAGCTCTAAATGAAATTTAGCTTATCACATCAAGAGAGAAATAGAAAAAAAGTATTCATGATCCAAAACACAGTAGGGATAAGATAAAGCCCGCTCCCCGTGAACATTGAAAAGCAAACCCTAACATCTAAGGATGATGATAATATGAAATAGCTTGAAGTAACATGGATTAAGGAATATGAAGAAATTAATAATAGAAGGTTGAGCTATGAAGAGGATGAACTAGAGGAACCTTTACTCTAGATGGAGCAAATATGCAATAAAAAGGGTGACCATGTTAAAAAAATTTCAAGAAAATTTATTTATGTAAACAACTTTCTAATATATTTCATAAATTATGGCTTACATATCAGTATTAGATATCCATCATCAGTACAGTCTTATCATTAAGCAGGTATTGCTGATTTCTAATCCCAATGTTATTCCTTTCATGCATATATTTCTCTTGAGAATTATTATTCCATTTCTAACTCTCCCAATGAGAATGAGATTATTAATGCCCTTATGAGCATGAATAAGGACCCTATTACTAGTTCTGATGAGCATGAACAAGGACTATGTTGCTGGTTTTGATGGTTTTACTACTGCCTTTTTCCAAAATTATTGGAACATTATGAAAGATGATCTCTATAAGGTTGTTTTTCCTTTCTTTAAATGTTTTTCTTTCCCAAAATTTTTTACCAATATCTCCATTGTTTAAATCCCAAAAAAATTAATCTTGGAATGATTTTAGACATATTAGTCTATGCTCCACCTTTAATGAATTGTTATTGAAAATTTTGGCTAATAGGTAATTATTATAAAAAAAATTGGCTAATAGGCTATCCTTGTTACTACATAACATTATATCTTTTAATCAAATGAGTTTTGTTAAAGGTAGGAACATTGATGATAATTTTCTTCTTGCTCAAGAAATGCTTCATGAAATAAATAAAAATGTTCATGGTCATAATTTGATTATTAAGTTGGATATTTCTATGGCTTATGATAAGCTTAATTGGACTTTTTCTTTTAATATTCTGAAGCAATTTAGTTTTGATGATAAAGATATTAATCTTTCTAAAATATCATTAAAAAAATTTGGTTATCTATTATTCAAGATAATAAATCTCATTTTTTCTTTAAAGGCAATCAAGGTATTAGGTAGGGTGATCCTTTATCCCTTGCCTTTTACATTATTGTTGCTGATTATTTATCTAGAGGCTTAGCTCAACTCTCTTTTATATATAAAAGCTTCTCTAATAGAATTTTTGTGGTATTGACATGCCTCATCTTTGCTTTGATGATGACATAAATATGTTTTGCAATGGTTATTTCAAATGTGTTAAGAGAATCAAAAAGTCGCTCTCTAATTTTGAAAAGAAAAGTGGTTTTTTTATTTAAATAATAAAATTATTCTTTTATTGGTGGCAAAGGTATACCTAATATTCATTGCAATAATATTCATACTTACACTAGATTTTGTAATTAGGCTCTGCCTATTTATTTAGGGACTCTTTTGTTTAAAAAACAAAAGAGTCCCTAAATTAAAGAAAAATGATTATCTTTGTGTCAATTACATGAATAAGAAATAATATAATAATATGCATCCCAACTTCTGCAACTTTAAACAAGGTCAATCCCTATGGTGGAAATAACTTTATAACATTAAATGATCTGCCTAATCTACTACTCAATGGAGAATCTGCAATGAGTCTATCCATTTATAGAAAGATGACTGGACTAGTGAAGGATATCTTGATTCTCAATTAAACACTCATTCTACCTCCTCATTAAAAGTCTCGTGGTTCATAGACAATGGTAATTGGTCCATTAATCATCTTCAGGATTTTATCCCTAAGGGTCTCGTTGATACTATTCTTAATATCCCCATTAACTACAGTTGCAAGGACCAAATTATATTTAAGTTTTAGAAGGATGGTGAGTTTAGTCTTAAAAAACTTGGAATTATTTTACGTAAAAAAAAGAGGCGTTCTCAACCTTTGGTTAAATCTGTAATATTTCTACTCCTCTTAATTCCTCTATGTTGGCATGGAGGATTTTAAGAGGTTTCATTCCTATTGATTTTAGGATTCAAGAAAAAGGCTTTTATTTGGTTTCTTTCAATATTGTTTTCACATTGAGACTATTAGACATTTTTTTTAAATGGGCCTATTGCAGCTAGGGTATAAGAACATTGGAGAAGTTACTGTAGATTAACACTGATTTTAGTCACTTGAATGTTTTATCTTTAAGGGATGGGTGGTTTCATAAAATGAGTAAGGGCATATCTTTATGCTTATTCCTTTATTTGTTTTCTTTTTGGCTTTAGTGGGATGAATGGAATAAGTGTAAGCATAATGACATTAAGATATGCACTCGGAGGGTGTAAAATATCCTATTGTCTACTATTCAATAGTTGTTTAAGGATGGTGTTTTAACTTGTATGCATTTTAGTGGGAGGAAAGATTGACTTTCTCATTTTAATATTTAATGTGACATCATTAACAATAATTCTCCTCCTCTTATTAGTAAATGGTCAAAGCCTTCTATTGATGAATTTAAACTCAACATTCATGCTTATATTTCGAATTCTACATGTGGCAATGGTGGTTTGATTCATGATTTTAATGGCAATTTAGTTTATCGCTATGCTTCACATTACCCTTATTAGGATGTTACTGATGCTGGTTTGAATGCTCTTTTTAAGGTGCTTAGAGAGTATGTTGTTTACAACATCAAGATTTAATGGATTAAATCCAACTAAGTTAAATTAATCTTGTTGATAAATGCTACTAAGTGCTTAAATCCCAACTACTTCTATAATTTTGATAAAATTAAGATGTTGTTGGGTAATATTGTTTTCCAACCCTATTGTATTTAGATAGTTGCTAACATTTGTTTTACGATAATCAAGGTGATATACAACTAATGGAATATCCTTATTTTCATGAAAGATCAAAACATATTGATATAAAGATTCATTTTATTTGAGATGTCATTGCAAATGGAAATGTCAAAGTAGAGAAGATTACATCAAAAGAATATCCATAAGATGTATTGAGAAAATGTTTTGCCATTATGAAATTCAAGAGTTATTTGAACTTAGCTAATTGTATTGGAACGAGTCATCCATTAAAATTGGATCAAGGTGGAGATTGTTAGTTTTTTATTTATTTGTGAGCCAATATAATCAAAGTTTTAGGTTTTATGTTTTCTTTTGATGTAAACTGCATTGGTTATTGATAGTTTTCTTTGGTTTTCATTTGTAGCCTTGGTTAACTACATAATTAGTTTTTGTATTCCAATCTCATGTATAAAATCATGAAAATGCTATAATAATAATAATTAAATGAATACAATCCATGCATCTCTTCATCATATATAAACATTTTGGGTTTCTAGGAATGCATTTCTATCCTTTTTGGTTCTATCTTCTGTTTCATGCTTGTATCTAGTTTTGATATAGCTTCAGCTTCATACTGGATCATGGTATAGCTTTGGATTTTACTTAATGCAGGGTGTGACTCTACTTCTATCTTTAGGAACATGCCAGATAGGCATTAATTTGTTTGTTTGCAGCTTGCTGAAACACTTGGCTTCAGGCATATGCTAGATTCAGCTACTATATGTTTGTTGTTTCTGTCCAGCAAGATCCACTAGGTTTGTAACATTTACTACTGAGAATTGATACTTTTTAATGATATTATCATAAGTAAAAAGCTTATTTATTATAATAGCATTGATCTTACTATAAAAATTAATTTGTGATGAAACTTTACTAAGGGAATTATTTTTATTCTGTCATTAAATCACCTACCCCATTTCTATGTATATACCTTCTTGTCATTAGGTTACAAATCATAAATCATAGTGCTCTATATTCTTTGGAAAATATTTTGGTAGCCAATTGAAGCTCGATGCAGCTACAAAAAACACATAAATAACTCCTACATCTTATCAATAGATAGATGGATCTACTAGACTAATTTTTTTCTTCTATTGCTAATAAACAAATTTATTAGACTTTTCTATCAATTTAAGGAGAGGCTCAATTCAACAACTTTCATTTTTGAACTAAAAATTAATGGAACCAGTTGAGGTACTAAAATTTGCCATTTTTAGACTATTAGGAATTCAATTTTCTTCTATATCTTATTTAATCTAAAAAAGTTATTGGCTTTAAAAAAATGCACCATAATGCATTTATATGGGAGAAGTTGGGGAATAATGTTTAGCGGCACCATTTAAACTTAAGTCAAACTTATGGCATTTAAGAAGGGAAAACAAGAATTATTAACTAATTTACTATAATCTAAAGTTCAATCAATACATAAAATTAAATGGGGATAAAATTTAAGGGCATGCTTTTAAGATAACTAAAACGAAAAAGTGGAGTTTTTTTATCCATTTAATATAACTTTCAAGGATATCATAAAAGGATAGTGAACCAATTACAATACAAATTAAAGTGGCTAGATTCCATGCAATGTGAAGGTGGGGTCCTGAAAATAGAAAACTATTGTGGCAAAGAAATAAAGAAAAAGTAATCTTAGGGAACTTCAAATGTAAAGGTACAAGTGCAACCCTAGAATGAGAAAATAAAATCCTACAATGAAAAAATTTTTCAAATGAGAACATTCAAGGAGAATATTAATTAGTAAAAGATGGAGGTGGAGTATTTTTTTTCCAAACATTATTTCCTTTTTCAATAAATTTGGTTTTTAAAAATGGGAATTATGTTGTCGCTAGAATCTGACCATATCTCAAACTTAAAAAATATATGCAAATAAATATTAACACAATAAAATTTAGGGAGAAATTGTGTGTAAGGCCAAAATATATCCAATTATAAAAAAGCAAAAAAACTTTTGTCCATTATAAAAAACCAACTTATACCAGAAAATTATAAGTCCTTAGATTTTAAGAAAGCCTAATTGATGACGGCTAAAATCTTGAGGTTAACTTATATGCATCCATAATATGATAAATAATTTAAACTTGAAATTATGCTTGATTGGAGATAGATGAATGAGGTCATTATTTTTATTGCATCCACACCCCACTAATAAATCTTATGAATTTCCATTTATAACATAAATTTGAGATAAGAGTTCCTAGCAACTATCACCATTGAAGCAAAATTAATAAAGCTTAAATGATTTACCACCCATTAATGACATATATTTCTACCCAAAAATAAAATACTTTAATATAAATAAAATATGCAAAGAGTCATTATTTATTAGATGATTTGTATTGACAAATAGGAAAACATGCATTTTTTTAATCAATCGACATTACATAGGAAAGGTGGGTAAAACTAATCATTATTTTAGAGAATAATATAAGTAGCCATGGATGGTATGACTCAATTGGAAGACAAACTCTTATAGTTCTTATAATTATTTTACTATATATTCAACAATGAAGAGAGGACAATATGACAGTGAGGCCTTGTGAGCCCTTGTGATACTTAATCCTATCCATTTTGAATGGGAACAAAGATTAAGTACTTGAAAAAAAAAGAACCATTAATGTCTCTAGTATTTTCATTAGAAGAATTTAAATTTAAAGAAATCTAACTCAAAGTAAGATATATGTCCTTTGGATTAGACTTCATTTAAAAGGATATTAATAGAAAGTTTATCATATTAAATAAAAAGTTAAGCTTTTGCTTTTATCTCTTTTGGCATGGACATGAGCCCCTTATTTACAAAAAAAAGGCCAAGGAAAGCACCCAATATGAATAATAATTTTTATATTTAAGAATCTTCCTCACTTAAGATATATATTATAACACTTGTCCAAATCAATACTGATGCTTCATTTCTGCTTCCATTGAATGCTAATCTTTCTCCTAGTATGAAAAATGTAGATCCCTATACTTAGATTAAATTATCTCTTTAATCTAAATAAAAAAACTTGAATATTAAAAAATTTAGATTTGATTATTAGGATGATAAAATTTTCTCTATTGATACACTAGTTTTTACGTACTTATTACTCTTAAATAAAATTATCCTACATATAATTGTGCTCTTGAAGTTGTTCCACAGCCTCATAGGAAATATTGAGAGACCCCTTCCATAAATTAAAGTATTCAATCTTCGAAAGCTAACTTCTCCCTTGAAGTAAATCTTCCACTTTTCTTTCCACTACTATTACTCTTTTTATTGTGGTTGGTAAGTATCAAAAAAGGCTTAAGTTCATTTTGTGACAACACAAATGAATCAACCAAATAATTACCAACATTCCTCCACAACTCCACCACTTCACATGAATGAACCACTCCTCCACAACTCCACCTCTACACTAGATATTCTCCCCCATAACTCATGGAAAGATAACTACCTAAGGCTATTATTGTAATCAATTAGAGGATTGTAGACAGAAATCTAGTGTAGTCCAAATGGAATGAGAAGTTTCTAAGTTAAGATTGTATGTAAGAATAAACGCAGAGATTGTAGAGTACAGTGCACTAGCTAAGTTTTGATCAACTAGTAACCATAAAGAGAACTGAGGGGTTTGGTTTCAACTATCCCGTAACAGAGTCTAAGATGGTATATTTGGACGGACATATGGTGGTTCAGTTTAGGTAGCCTCTGAATCCATCAACAATAAATAACTTGAGTATTTATGATAATTTTCAGCAATCAATTGGATGTGCACTATATTTTTTATATTTGACATAAAAACTTAAGTTGAGCGGGAATCTGAATGTCATTTAACTTGACAATAGTTGAATCTATGGAGAAGAAGAAGAAGAGGCAAGCATAATACAAAGGTGGAGATTATAGTTTGGTGACTGATGGCTTTGATATCATGAAGAAATAGTAAAAAATAAGGTAACAGAGAAGGTAATTAGAAGAAGCTGTAGATTTTAGCAAAACTAGTTATTATATATATTGCTTTTCCTATGTATATATATGCGTATACTAAATACATACTTATATAAGTAAATTAATAAGAGATAATTACACCAATAACCTTAGTTAGTTATCTTTCAAGGCATTAGTGGGGAGAATATAAGGTTTAGTGGTGCAGTTGTGGGGGATCGATTGATTCATGTGAAGTGTTGGAGTTATGGATGAATGTTGGTAGTTATTTGGTTGATTCATTTGTGCTGTCACTGTCCCTCAAGTTGAGGGTTTAAACAAATCATCAGCTTTTATCTAAGAAGAATGAACTTTTGAGTAGGCAATGATTTTGTGAACATATCTACTAACTATTCTTTAGTGGAGATATGATGAACAACAATAATTTTGGAATTATTTTTTTCTAGAATGAAATGATGATCAATCTCAATATTTGACCTTTGAGATTAAAAATTGGGATTGCTGGCAATAGACATAGCAATAATATTATCACATAATATTTGAGTGGTATCAAGAGAGAGAGAGAGAGAGAGAGAGAAGTCTTGACATATATAGTCGATGAAGCTAGTTGAGATTGGTAGTTGCAGTAGCTAAAGAGAAGTATTCAACTTATGTAGATGATTGAGCTATTGTAGTTTGTTTCTTTATTAAACATGAGAGAAGAATACTGTGAAGAAACTGTTGTAGCCTATAGCGGACTTCTGATCATCAATGTTACAAGCCCAATCTGGATCAGAAAAAGCTAAAAGCTGAGGAGTGGTGGCAATTATTTGGTTGATTCATTTGTGCTGTCACGTTTGATGCTTTATTTACACTTCAACAGCAGTCATCTCAGCACAATCAGGAGTTGTGGGATGGGTGAAATGAAAGTTCTTGTGAAGTGCCATTGTCTGGATAAATCTTCCTTAAAATCTTTTTCGTTTTATGATGTACCATAACGGGGAATAGTGTTTAGCTAAGTTTCCATTAATCAACCAACTTCATTTTGCTTGGCTAATTTTTAGAAAGAAAAAAAAATGATACAATCGAAATTCTTATAATGATGCTTATTTATGTACATACCTCTTCTGTTGTGCGAAAATTCCTGTTGGAGGATGTCCCCATGTAAGGCACACTCAAGGTCTGAATAAATCAGGAAAAAAATGATTATTAAAGATTATTCTGAGTAAAATATGAAAGCCTGTAATTAGAACTGATTCTAATCTGTGTGAAATAATTAAAAAAATATGAACTTGTTTTAGGATCTTGAACAGTTCATAAAAGATCAAGGTTTCAGTAAGGCTGCGCTAACAAAACTATCTGAATTTTAATGCTCTATAAAGAAAGCAAAGATGATTACCTCAACTTGGTCTTGGAGAAACTTTATATATCCAATTGCTTCCATTAATACAGATGCTGTATCAGTCTACTTGTCCATAAAAGAAAAAAAAAATAACAAACAGATTAATTTGCCTTATAGAGAAGTAAATTTAAATAAAAAACACTTGAATATTAAAATTTGACTTCTAATAATATTTTTTTTATATAGAATTAAATATTAAATTTTAATACTTTAAATTAATTTTTCATTAAAAGTAGTCCTCTTAGACACACTTATAGTTTTATTTTAGAGCATCTTTTGTTGATATTGTGATAAAATTATTTTAAAATATTAATTTAAAATAAATATAAACTATAATTTTAAAATTAGGAGATTTTTTATTTTTACACAACCAATAATCACAAAAATAATAATAAGAACAACAACAACAACAACATTCAATAAATGAAAATAAAATCAAACAAAACTTAAGAAATTTACAAACATTCTAAATCTCAAATTATAGCAAAATTTTCTCTTCTTGAATTCTGTTGATTGTCTCGATCAACACCAACATATAATAATAATAACATTTAACAAATGTGTAATACTATTACAACAATAACAACAAATGTGTAATACTATTACAACAATAACAACAATTTATCCTCTACTAATCATCTAGTGGAGGAGGGATCTCCTAAGACTAACAAGAAAAAGAAGAAAACTAGTAAAGCTCCTACCCACCAGAGCTCAAGCTAATACCAAAAGTTCTAATGATTAAAGCTCTTATTTGGAATGTTAGAGGGATTGGAGGTTTGGATTCCAAAAATCGTGTTAGGAATTTGAGGCGTGTTCACAATATTCAGTTGTTGGTTTTACTTGAACCTTTTATTACTGTTGATAAAATGGTTTCTACTGCTTCTAATTTGGGCTTTAATAATAGTTTTGCTAATTGCTTTAATAAAATTTGGATTATGTGGAATAATCATTTTAAGGTTAATGTTATTTCAGATTTTCAGCAAGTTATTCATGTTCAAATTTTCGTTAATAGTTTTTATTGTTATGCTTCTTTTGTTTATGCTGCCTCTACTAGATTGGGGAGAATTCCCCTATGGGATAGCCTTGCGGATTTTGCTCAAAACTCTATGGGGCCGTGGTGTGTTGGAGGGGATTTTAATATCATTTCTCATGCTGGTGAAAGGAGAGGGGGGAATCCTCCCAATGCTAATGCCATGAATGATTTTAATGATATGATTTCTAATTGCAATTTATTTAATATTGGTTTTTCTGGCAGTAGTTTTACGTGGAGCCGTGCTAGAATTTGGCAAAGGCTTGATAGAATCTTGTTCAATAATGACTGGATTAGCACTTTTCAAATAACTCAAATACATCATTTGAGTAGAACGTTATCCGGCCATGCTCCTCTTCTGTTGAATGTTTCTGGTAACATAATTAAACCCTCTATTTCTTTTAGATTTCAGAATATGTGGCTTAATCACCCTGAATTTATGAATGTGATTTCTGGTAATTGGCATGCTGATGTTTTTCCTAACAATGAAGTGTTTGGCATGGCTAGACTTTGGGCTAAATTGAGTAGACTTAAACAAGTGCTTAGGTGGTGGAATAAGCATGTTTTCAAAAATATTTTTGATAATATTAAGGTAGCGGAAGATAAGGTTGTGGTGCTTGAATCTCTATACCAAGACATTCCCTCTTACTCTAATCTTATGAATCTTGATAATGCTAAATTGTTCCTTTTTAAATTGCAAGAACAAGAAGAAATTTTTTGGAAACAAAAGGCTTCTTCTTCTATTCTTTTGGAAGGGGATAGAAATACGGCTTTTTTTCATGCTTTAGTTAATAAAAATAGAATCAAAAGTCATATTAACAGGTTAGTGGATAACCATGATACTGTTTATGATACGGATGATTCTATTGCTATATATGGTGTTAATTTCTTTATAGAAATTTTTAATAGGAACAATAATGCCAATGATATTTCTTTTTCTAATGTGATTATGAGCATTGTTAATGATCATGATAATGTAATGCTTACTCGGATTCCTTTGGAAGAAGAGATTTGGAATACTATCAACAATATGAATGGGGAATCGGTTGCTGGTCCGGACGATTTCACTACCAAATTTTTTATCAATATGTGGGACATTATTAAAAAGGATGTGATTGATGCTGTTCAGGATTTTTTTAATGGGAATCCTTACCCTAAATTCTTCACGTCTACTAATATTGTTCTTATTCCAAAAAAAGATAATCCTTATTTTTGGAATGATTTTAGACCAATTAGCCTTTGCACCTTCTTTAATAAACTTGTTGCTAAGATCATTGCTTCTAGGTTATCTTTAATTCTGCCTAAAATTATTTCTCCTAATCAAACTGGGTTTGTTAAATGCAGAAGTATTTTTGATAATATTTTACTTGCGCAAGAAATGGTTCATGATATCAATGCTAAAAGCATTGGTGGTAATATTCTTTTTAAGCTTGATATCACCAAGGCTTATGACAACTTAAATTGGGATTTTCTTTACAATATTCTTTCTATGTTTGGGTTTAATCAAAACTTTTTGCTGCTTATCAAAAATAGCATTGAAAATTGTTTTTTTCCTCATCATTAATGACTCTATTCATGGTTTCTTTAGCTCGTCTCACGGGCTTAGACAAGGGGACCCGCTCTCTCCTTCTCTTTTTATCATTGCTATGGAATATCTCTCCAGAGGGATTGAGAGACTGTTCAGGTTGCACCCTAAACTCCTTTTCCGCACTCTTGGTGGCTTTCCTATTTCACATCTTAGTTTTGCTGATGACTTTATTATTTTCTCTAATGCCTCTATTAAAAGTGTTAAAGTGTTAACCCAATTTTTAACTGGTTTCCAAAGGATTAGTGGTTTATACATCAATAGGGACAAGAGAAACTTTATTACTAGCAAATTTGTGAATCTTAGTAGGCATGATAGAATTAAAAGAGTGTGTGGTTTTAGCCCTTCTTCTTTGCCTATTAAATATCTTGGAACTCCGCTTTATAAAGGCAGGAAAAGGATATCTCTTTTTGAAAACATTTTCTCCATATTTCAAAAAAAATTTCTGAATTAGTCTTCGAAGTTTCTTTCTTTTGATGGTATATTAACTTTAATTAAAAGTGTTCTTAATTCTGTTCCTATATATCTTTTTCATACTTTACAGTCTCCGTGTACTGTTTGTAAGAGAATGAAAACTATGATAAACAAATTTTTTTGGGGTGCCACCAATAACAAATCTTGCATTAATTGGGCTTCTTGGAAAAAAGTGTGTGGGGTTTTTAAAGAAGGGTCCCTTGGTTGTAAGTCTATCTCTGATACGGCTCATGTGTTTTCTCATAAGCTTTGGATTGGGTTTAGAGCTAATAAAAGTTTATGGGCTCAATTTTTGATGGCTAAGTATTGTAGGGACCTAAACCCTCTTGTTTGTCATTTTAAAAACACTGACTCTTCGGATTGGAAAAGACTTTGTAAAATCAAGTGGGAAGCTGAGAATTTTATTCAATGGGGGATTGGGAATGGTGATGTCTCCTTTGGCAAGATAATTGGATGGGGTGTTCCTCGATTGACAATCATCTCAATACCCACACCAAAGCTAATACCAAAGTTAGTGATTTCTTTATTAATGGTGAATGGGATCATGCTAAACTTCGTAATGTGGTTCCTGAATTTATTTTTGAAAAAATTGTTGGTATACCTTTAAACCTCCATAATATTGACAATATCATGTTTAATTTATCTGCGTCTGATAAATTTTGCATTAAAAATGTCTGGGAGGATATTATGAATAAAGGTGAGTTTTCTCACATTTATGGATCGCTTTGGCATAAGATGATTCCTCTGTCCTATTCTTTGCTAACCTGGAGATGCCTTAAAGGCTTTTTGCCCGTGGATACCAATATGTTTAAGAGAGGTTTCTATTTTGCCTCTAAATGTCAATGTTGCTTTAATATTGAAAGCACTCAACATGTTTTTGTTAGTAGTAGTATTGCTCGGATGGTTTGGTGCCACTTTTTTAACCTTGCTGATTTGGATAACTTCAGTATTCAACACGGTTTGCCGGAGATTCTTCAGACCTGGTTCGCTAAAGGTAAAGGACATATTAATTTCTTAATTCCTATTCTGATTATTTGGTACATTTGGAAATCTAGAAACGTGTCTAAACATAATAATATTAGAATGTCGGCTAATCAGATTATTAATAATGTTAGGAATAAAGTTTTGCGGCTTATTGCTGTCAAACTTATTTCTCAAAAGAATTTCAAGAATTGTAATCGCATGGCCACTTATTTTGGAATTGATATCAATGGGGTTAATATCATTAAGGTTGATAGTATTGTGAAATGGCTGAAACCGGATCCTCCTTATGTTAAGATTAACGCTGATGGGTAGGTTGGGATTGCTAGTGCTGGCATGGGTGGTCTTATTCGCAGTGCTGATGGGAATCCCATTACTATTTTTGCTGGTCCTATTGCTACTAATTCTATTTTAACTGCTGAATTATTTGGGATCTATCAAGGTTTAAATATTTGTCTGAGGTTAGGTTATCAGCATGTGCATGTTGAAGTGGACTCCAAACTTGCTATTCAAGCCATTTCTACTACTAATGTGGTTTTTCCTAAAGAATTTTGTATGATAAGGAAAATTAAAATGTTGCTTTCTAACTTTAATTTTATCATATCCCATATCTATCGGGAAGGCAATACATGTGCGGATTGGTTGACAAAATCTGACGCTGGCTATGATTCCTATCAAGAATTGCCTACTATTAATCTGCCTTCTCCTCTTAATGGCATGATTTCTTTGGATAAAATGGGCCTTCCTTACATCCGTCATGGGTGATTTTGCTTGGTGCGAGTTTTGTGGTCCTTGTTTTATGTTGTTTATTTGTTTTGGTTTTTAGTTTTGTCCCGTTATTCTGTTCCCCTCTTCTGAGAGGGATTTTTCCGCTGCCATGTGCTGTTGCTTTTTCTATTTCATTTGGTTTCATTCTAAGTCATTTATCCGGATTTGTAGTGGTCACTGGTATGTTTTTATTATTCTCTTGTTGGATTGCTTATCTGATAAAGTCTGGAATTATTTTTGTGTTGGGCATTGTCTGAGTAATTGGTTTTATATTTTCAGCTTTGGTTTCTTTGTCCAGTCTAAGAGATTATGCAGGTCGGTTAGCTAGCTGGATTGTCTGGAATAAGTTCTGTGCTGGGCGGAGTAATCTGGGTGGTTTTGATGGCCTCTGTTTTGGCTTGAGATTGCACTGGGTGGGCTGGTTTAAGTGGATGAATTCTGAGGTTTTGCTTTGTGTCAGGACTATCCCGTCTCAACTCTATGGGAATTCCTTTTCTTTGCAGGACTTTCTTAGGCTGTATAATGTTTTTATGAATCTGTGGCCTGATAGGGATAACATTGGGATCCTTACTTATATTATCTACTTTAGTTATCTTACAATCTTTTGGAGAATTCCTTGCAGGCGTCAAAATAATCTTCGTGTTTTGGTTTTCAATGATCGCAAGGTAATCTCTTTTTCTTATTCGAATTTCTATTCCTATTATCTTCAGAATTTTTGCAGGAAGACTGAGCTGAAAGGGACTATCCTGCTCTTCCTTTTTTGGGTGCTGTCTGCTCACAGCCCGAGCTTTTTCCTTTGTTCTTTTTGTAATCGTAGAAAAAGGATCCACTAGCTCATAGGTTTTTTTGTTTTCCTTTTTAATTGTAGCTCGTTCGAGCAGTAGAGAGTTGGTGGAATCTTTTAAGGACTATGTAACCTTTTTTGTGATATTAACGCGTAGGCCCCATTAGTGGATTTTAACAAAAAAAAAATAATAATAATAACAACAATTTATCCTACTATGCGGAGTCGGCTACATGAATCTTTTTTCTCCATTGTGTCATGTTAAGAGTCAAGTTCTCATCAAAATCTAATTAATAAAGAGAGGCCATTTATAATATTTTCTAACCAAGTATTTTTAGGTCTACGCCTACTTTTCTTGACATTAGTCAATAATAAAACATCAACTTTTCTAGCTGTATGAAAAGTATGCCCTATTCATAGAATTTAAGCTTTGTTATTGCCAATATAAAAGTCTCTTAGAAAACTCTAAAACGAAACTGATTAAAATGATAGCTCAAGATTTATTCTAATCATACAAAGCGCATTCTATCATTCAAAATACTGATCAATCTTTTGAATAGTTTTAATTAAACAAATAAATAAACTCCAAAAATTAAATTGAAAAGAGAAAGAGAACATAGATCACAATTCAAAATAAAAAGACCTTTAAAGTTTAAAGCTTCAAAACAAGAATTAGTATTTACCTTTCCAAAGGGTGCAACCAACTGCTGTAGTGCTGCAATCCTGTCTCCCAGCTTCTCCTTCCTAACCTATACATCATGTGATTACATTAACAGAAAAAAATAGAAAGGCTAAAATATAATAATATTTAAGAAAATTAATTATTTTGAAATTGTCTAAATATTTAAGAAATTATAAGATAAATACACACCTTAAAAGGAGTGATTGAAGGGCGTGAATCAAACCGGGGCTTCCTTGATGGTTGAAGCTGATCTAAGCTGCTGTAGTTTGCTCTCTTTCGTTCACTGAGTCCACTGACTGATGGTGGAATCTTCAAAAGTTGAGAGAGAGGAGGGATCGTGTAAAGAACGAAAAACGGTCAGAAATATTATTTTCTCTCACTTTATAAAAGATGATGCACGTCACTCATAAAAGCTGAAAAGAGCTACAAAAAATTGCTTTTGCAGATTTTCGATTTAAAAAGGAGGTGAAAAACAAAAATCATGCGTTAAATCTTGCTTTCTTTGGCATCGTCACCCGAACGAGATTAAAAATAAAAATAATTAAGTCTTCAAGGATATATCTAAAGCTAACCAGCTTGAGCAATCATAAAATGAAAAAAAAAAAATTAAGAGAAATGCTGCATTTTTCTTGTTGGCATTATAATTTATAAACTACGTTTACTAAACTTGAACAAAAAAATATTTTAAATTGTTTATTAAATAAAACGATTTGTTAATTATATATTATGTACTTTTTCTGAACTTATAATATTCCCATGATAGTAAAAATAATACTTTATTCAGAAAAACTTGGAATATTATAACAACTTCATATATTGATAGAAAACTATCAGCATTCCATTGCATTTGTATATTGTCATTTTCTTATTAATTGTTAAAAATTTTGTTGAGTAGTGGATGACTCTTATAAAAATTCCTTAGTTTGAAATGAGCAATCAAACAATAATAATACGGATTAATCCTACCGCAGTTTTAGTTTTTTTTTTTTTTCCTTTTGGTTCCCTTACGGTTAATTGTTCATCTTCTTGCACTGAAATTGCCAAAAACATTGGTAGAGTTTCTGAACCACCTTAAATATTCAGCATTTATTCGAATATATCTTCCTTTAATATTTGCAAAAAAATAATATATACTTTAAAGTTAACCAGAGGATCAGTAAAAAACTTATCCTGAGCACCAACCTCCTGTAGATTTACGAAACCTCCTTGAGCTGGACTGTGCAACTGATGCGAAAGCCCATAGTTCATATTATCAAAATATGTAGAGGTATTCAAGTTTGATGATTGGCAAGAACCAATCCTACCAAATCGGGCTGACGCCAAGAAGTCCAAAGCCTCGATGTCCATACCCAATGATGTCTCCATCGAAGGCAAATATATATTCGGTATGTTTAGACCAGGAAGAAGCATTCCAAAACTCAAAGGATCTAAACCTTGGTGTCCATGAATAGGAGGTGAAGGCTGGTAAACATTGAGGTCATTTTGCTGTCTTTGCTCTTCATGTTTAAGTACTGCAGAAGATAATTTATACTGTTCAAGCTTCAAAAAAGATTCTATAGAGATCTCCTCTTTGATCTTTGCTAGGTGTATTTGTTGCGCTGAGTGAGGGTTATGGACGGTCCACTGAAATCCGTGATCTTCAACCATGTGATGAGAAGGAGCAAATGGAGGTGGATCTATAAGCTGGTCTTCATCTTTTGAGTTTGAGAAGCTTGTGCTGATGCTGGGAATAAGCTCAATACCATAGCTGAAAGCAAGTTGTTCAGTTCATTAGGAACCATATATGTAGATAAAAAACAAAACTGTATGTATAGCGTTAGGTCTTGACCTAAAAATTGAACAATAGAAAGCTAACGGCTTAGCAGGAGCTTCCGAGTAAACTCCAAATAACAATTTGTCAAGATGCTAAAATAAGGAAAATCCAAGACAGAAAATTCCATAAGAGAACAAGAGGCAAAAACACAAGCCGGAAAATTCCAAATCCTAGGAATCGAAGAGTGACTAGTTAATAACTGATTATTTATTTAACAATTAATGGACAAGAAGAGAGACAAATGTGTTTATGAATGTTGTTAATTAATGCATGCATGAAGCGTAGGTATATAAATATATATTTGTACCGAAAAATTTAAAAGAGCGCTGAACTCACAGTAAGGGATCTTGGTTCCAGTTAAGAGCAGTGGAGGCATGGAGGAGTAATAGCTCCTCAGGTTGGTGACGGAGATCTAGCAAATTTGAAGAGTCCATGTTGAATTTTTATAAAAAGGATTGGTAGTCCCAAGAAGGAAGAAAAAGAAAGGAGAGAAAGGGTTGGCCTCTTTGGAATCTACATCTAAAACACTTCCCCACTCAAAGAAACACTTGAGGCCCTCTTGCAGTCTTGCCCATGAGTCTTTGTTGCTGAACGATGCCTTTGCCTTACTTTATTAACTTATCACTTTTCCCACTTTATTCTTTCTTCACATCCATCATCATCTCTCTTCTTCTGTGCTTGGATCAGAAAAGAAGGGTGGAGCTGCCATCAAAATCTCTCTCTCTCTCTCTCTCTCTCTCTCTCTCTCTCTCTCTCTCTCTGTTCTTTTCAGGAAAAACTTTCTGCAGCACTGAAATTAAAGGGATCACCTCCCTGAGGTCTTCTTGGAGCTTCTATCAAGACTGCCCTTACGCTCACGCTCTCCCTACCCCCTTCTCTCGTTCTATCAAGTAGCACAATCTTTTCTTTAAGGATCTTGCTTTAATATAGCTTTTCTTCCTTTACTTACTCAAAGAAGAAGCTTTCTTTTTCAGTTGCTGCAATTACAGGGACATGATTATACGACCCCTGCCATGATTGAAAACCGTGCCATCGATCCAAGGGTTTCATTTTGAGAGATGGTAATGATTTCTTCCATGCCACGCCCGCTTATTCACTCCACTCATTCACTCAGTACTTCAATCTTTTTCTCTCTTCCTACAGGAAAAAGGGCATGGCCATCGCTCTTATAATTATCACATGGAATCTATGCAATTCCTGTTTGTAAAATAAATATACAACAGCTATATAAGTTTAAATAACAATTGTTGAGGGAAGTGACTTTTCGTGTGCTATTTCCAAATCGGAAATGCAGATTTCACTGCTTTGAACATTGTTCCGAAGAGATAAATTGTAGCTAAACATCACCATAGACTGTAATTTATACAAGCTATATTGCTTCATTTTAAAAAAAAATTCAGTAAAATCATTTAAATTTAAAATTACTGAACATCAATAAGAAGTTATAAATAATTATTTGAATAATAAACAAATATTTTAGGCAAACTATACAAAATGGAAAAAAAATGAAGTAAAAACATTTCAATCAATTTTTTTTGGTCCAAATGAGTTTCAATGTTGTTGAAAATATTTTATGATGATTATCATTAATATTATGTTCTCTTAAAAATAAATCAAAATACTTTCGAACATGTTATTGTCACACTTTTGTAAAAATATGTTAAAAATAAATTTTTACACATAAAAAATAAAATAAAAATATAGGACTAAAGAGTAACATAAAATTTGTGTCAGATTATTATAATTACTTGTTTCAAACCATCCTTCAAATCAGTAATGACATAATCACCACTACATCTTTTTTGTAAATACAATGCCGCAAATAATATGATTTATGCAATATAAATTATCAAAAAATAATTACAATACAAAAAAATATAAAGATAACAGTTGAAAGAATAATCGTGAAACATTTGGTTCGGTACTATGGAAGTTTACAACAACAGGACTTAGCATTATTGATTTTATTGTTCTTAAAATGATTAATGATATGCAAGCATTTTTCCCTGTTCATGGTCACCGGTTTACCAGGTGCCCTCAAATTTTCATTTGATTCTAGATCTGAGTGAACAACGAGAAAGTCGCTTGCACTAGCTATGGGATTTCCCTGTTGGAAATTAAACTTAATTTGGCCCGTTATTATTTGGGCTTTTGATTGAAGCCCATAATCTAGAGAAATCTATTAAAGAAGACTCTAGAGATCTATGCATTTAATGTCATTTATGATAGGAGATATGAGAATACTCTAGAGGGTCTTTTAAGGAGTAATTGTTAGAAAAGTCTAGAATATGCATTTAATGTTATTTATGATAGGAGATATGAGAATACTCTAGAGGATTATTTGTAACCATTAGATTGAAATGTGTTGGCATAATCCCAACGATGTACTACTAGTATAAATAGTGGTTGTGTCTTTGAGTTGTATTAAGCCAAAAATTTGAGAAATAAAATTTCTACTTTCTTTCTTCTATTCTCTTTAGCCTTCTCTTGTTCCAAAAGCATTTTTTTTATTCCAACATTCCCTTCGGAAGCTTAACAAGGACACAAATCTCCGCCCTTCTTATCTAAAACCCTTTCTTTGTCGATATATCTCGTCCGCTTCCAATACTCACCTAAGGAAATTTTTTTTTTGGTTAAAACCCACCAGAGGGGCCTACGCGTTAATATAGGTAAAAGATTACAAGGCCCTTAAAAGGGTTCTCAAACTCACTACCGCTCAAAGAGCTGCAAAAACAAAAGAAAAGGAAAACCTACGAGCTTGAGAACCCTGCTATAAAACAATACAAAGAAACCTATGAACATGCTACAGTGCTTAAGAGAAGGCACCCAAAAAAAGGAAGTTAACAAAAAACAACCTAAATGCTCCCTGCAGCAGAAATCCGCAAAGATCTGACAATCACACGTCCACACAGGATCCTGCCCACCCGAAAAATAAACCAAGGACTGCAATAATAAAGTAAAGAAAATGGCAAACCAAAATACAGAAATAAAGATCATCCAAAAAGGATACATCCAAAAATGGAATAACCAGACCTAAAACAAGAGAAATACACGAGTTAGTAAAATAAAGAAACAACCTTTAGCCCCCATAAACACAGGCAAAAGGTTCAGACAACAGGAACAGGCCTCAGAACAACCACTGGAAGAGCAGAAGGGAAGAGCCCAGAAAGACCAACCCATAACAACAAAGCCAGAAGGCACCACATACAAGAAATGGAAGAGGAACCCAGAAACAGACAGAAGAACGTTAGACAAGCAGAAACACCAAGCAACACAAAATGAGCAAGAGGACCAAGACTAATCGACCAAATAACAGAGACCAAGGCAGAAACAGAGCCAAAACCCAAAGCCAAACAAAACAACCGATTAATCATTGACATAGGGCAACCCCAGACGGTCTAGAATGAGAAGGCCCTTAACATTAGGCAGAACCAGGAGAAAATCCAAATCCATAACAGAGTTAAAATCACAACCAATGCAAGCCAAACCAAAGGCAGACGCATTGGCCAAAGCAGGAATAATGGAAAAAGAACAATTAATTAAGATAAGGGGCGCTTTAATCTCGCTCAAAGTATAAAACTCCATAGAAGAGCAGTTATAATCATCCAAATTCCTAAGCATCCTGAAATCAAAGTCAGATTCCAAAACAACATTAGTAAGGTTCGGATTAATGCACATATATAAACCGTGAAGCACCCTCATCAAGACATCCCTAGAGGAAAACCCCCTATCAACAGGCCCATCAAAAGCACAAATGAAGGAGCCTTTATGATCCCTAAGATCACCGCCAAAACCTAAAGAATTACCCAACTTAGTACCAGAAACATTCAGCTTAACAGAAGAAGGGGACTTCTCCCAGGAAATACATCTAGAACTAAGAATGGGATAATCATCCAATAAATTAATGCCCATCTTGTGGCAAACAAAAGGAACATTATTGAAACTTTTAACCGAAATAAGCTGAACAAAAAACATTGCAACCACTTTATCCTTAATGTTATGAATAATCTTCTTAAAATCCATCTGCACATTGTTAAAACGAGAATCATTCCGGGCTAACCAGAGAAACCAAAGAATCAAGCAGGGAAACACATTACGAATATGCCCTTTAGTATTAACCAGCCAGCAATCCAAACTAGAATATAAAGAAGCATTCACAGAGAAAAAAATGAACTAAAACAAATCCTCAAAATATAACCACACCTTAACAGCTACAGGACCTGAAATAAAGACATGGTGCATATTCTCAATATGGAAACAACATTGACATTTAGAAGGTAAGGAAAACCCTTTTTTCCTCAAGTTATCATTAGTAGAAATCAGTTTATGAAGAAGTCTCCAGATAAAAACCGAAACAGTAGAGGGAATAGACTTATGCCAAATCAAATTAAACAACTTAGACGATGCCTTATTGATTATGAAGGAATGCCAAGCTTCCTTAACCAAAAATTTACCATCCTTCGAAAGAGAAAAAAGCAACACAACCTTAGAGTAAATGTTTAAAGGGATTTTTAACATAAGCTGAATAATACTATCGGGGAGAATATTAGAAAGTTTCTCAACATCCCAACCTTATCTAGCAAAGAAATGGTTAACTTTCACATTCGAAGTAGAAACAGAATTTAATAAGGAATCAATGGACTGACCATTAATCCAAAGATCTTGCCAAAAGAAAATGGTGCCATAACCAAGACCCCAAGCCAAAAGGGCTCAACCTTCCACTTAATCGAGCAGAGATGTTTCTAGACTTTAGAATTACCAACAGCGTAGCCACAAAGAGAAGGATGCCTCCTCCCACAATACTTAACATTCATGAAATTGGACCAAAGGAAGTCATTGTTCCTGAGCTTAAACCAAAGCTTAAAAGAGAAGGAGACAGCCAAGTCCAACATCGTTTTACAGCCCAAGGCCCCTTCATCCATAGACCCACAACACTTATTCCAAGAAGACCAATGAATCTTGGAAGTATTAGAGCATCCTTTTCAAAAAAATTTATTGATAATTCTTTCAATCCTCTGACAAACAGTATTCGTAGGAAATAGAGTTTGAAAACAATAGATAGGAATAGAACAAAGAACACTTTTAATAAGAGTTAAACGACCATCAAAACTTAAAAAATTAGAATCCCAAGAAGATAATTTGTTATGAACAACAGAAATTAAATAATCAAATTAAAAAGACCTCTTCTTTCCCTTGAATAAAGGAATACCCAAATACTTAATAGGTAAAGAACCTTGAGTAAAACTAGTAATGTTCTTAATCTCCAACGCCCGAGCCGCAGGGACATTCTTACCAATAATAAAGCAACTCTTAGTTTTGTTAAAGGACAAACCACTAATAGATTCAAAATGCTCGAGCAAACTCATAATTTTACCAACCATATTAATGCTAGCATTAGAAAAGACAATAAAATCATCCGCAAATCAAAGATGGGAAATTTGAATACCACCTAAAGTATGAAAAAAAAGGTTAAAACAATTATTAAAGGTGTCCTCCAAAGCGCTGGACAGGTAATCAGCAACAAGGATAAAAAGGGCAGGGGAGATAGGATCCCCCTGACGCAACCCATGAGACGACTTAAAAAAATCATGACTCTTACTGTTTACAAGAATAGAAAAGTAAGGAGATTCAATGCATGATTTAATAAGACTGATGAAAGAAACATCAAAACCAAAAAGACTCAAAATCTTATAAATAAAATTATAATTAATATTGTCATAAGCCTTCGAAATGTCGAGTTTCATGATCATGTTGCCACCACGACACTTAACATCAAGATCATTGCAAAATTCTTGGGCCAAAAAGATATTATCAGAGATAGCTCTACCTTTAACAAAACCCATCTGGTACGGAGAAATAAGCTTAGGCAAAAGAACAGTTAAGCGATTCATAAGGATTTTAGAAAGCACTTTATAAAAGACAGTACACAAGCTAATGGGTCTAAAATCATTCCAAGAGTTAACAGAATTATTCTTAGGAAGAAGCACAACAGAAGTGGAAGAAAAGAATTTAGGAATAGTAGAACCCTTAAAGAAATCATTAACAGTAGTAAGTAAATCCGTGGAAATAATAGGCCAAGTTTTCTGAAAAAACTTAGTAGTTTAACCATCAGGACCCGCCATAGAATTAGAATTCATGTCAAATAAGACAACTTTAAGCTCCTCCAAAGAAGGAG